ATTGGGAAACATAATCAAAGTGTAGAGCTGCGCATGATTGCGATGGTGCGTCCATTGTTTGAGAAAGATTTTAAGGTTCCTTCATCCAGGTGAACAACTCCATATTTTTTAGAATCGCTACAGGTAATCAAAAGCTAACGTATGATTGCGGAAAAGCGTTCAAAAGAAGGAAAACAACTGAGAGAGCTCAGTGCATAAGCAATGGTAAATTCACTGATCTTTGCTATTATGCGGAGCTCTACGTTTTCGTTCAGGGATACTTTTACGAAATTTGGTGAAAGCCGCTTTGAAAAATTTACATATCGGATTTTTTGTTACTGGAAGCTTTCCAAGTTATGACACGGCTCCTAAAATTCACCTTCGGGTTGTATCAGATTCCAATGTAAAATTTCACGGAAATTGCTGAACATTCGTTCTGGTTGCTTCTACTTCATAAAAATTCTACTTTTGCCAATAAAAACACTGCACCCAATGAGTTTATGCCGCAGGTCTCGAAGGAAGGAAATCCCCAAGAGCTTTATGCGGCAGTGCATTTCTTTTGATAATTTCTCAGTTTCAATGCTAAATTATACAAAAGCTCGCTTGAAATCCACTTTTAACCGCTTTTACTTCGCAGAAATCATAAATCTGTTTCCTATAACGAAGAAGCAAAGGGAGCTTGGTCTCGAAGAAAGGAGGGTTCAAGAGCTTTAGGCGGCAAACATTTCTTTTAGGAATTTCTCAGTTTCAATGCTAAATTATACAAAAGCTCTCTTGAAGTCCATTTTTGACCTCTTTTATTGAGTCGTAAAGAAAGTTCTCTTGCACTTTCGAAAAATTTTTTCAAGTCCTGTAACTTCAAGCAGATTGATTCTTCTTTGAAGCTACAAACTTTGTTGCAAAGACAATTCTGTCTACAACATATGTTTACATTGCTGGCTTTTCAGCATCTCACTGCGGTCCACCAGCATGCGCAGAAGGGAAAAAGATCGACGCGAAAAGTGGCCTACTTGCGCAGAATATCTCAGCCATGATGAGAGGCTGGACAGCACATATGCTGTAGTTATATAAGAGTCTGCTGTTGGGACTATCATGGAGACTATCTACGCCTTTAAGCGACTACCTGCAAAATAAGTTTTCCTCAAAGTTAAAAAAAATCGACCATTTTTTGCCCCAAAAATGCCCATTTTCGAGTTACTGACTTTGAAGTTTTCTCGTTTTGTACAGGAGGAAGCAATTCTTTGATTACTGAGAAGATTGTTGGGGTAATGCCTTATACATCTTCTGGACCCATTATCCAAGTGGCGATAATTGCAGAAGCGATGTCAGCTGCGAGAATAGCTACAGTCAGAGGCAAGATTGACAGCTTGTAATTTCTGAGCGTAGATGCAAAACTCAAGTGTAGCTGCGGGCCAGAAGCTAACAGTCTCTTCGATTAGATCACATACGATTTGAACGAAATCCTATGAACTGCACAAAAAAATGGCCGCAGGAAGAAAAATTGTGAAATTTTCGTGTTTAGAAAGATTTCGTTTCTTGATGTGCAAATCATACACCTTTTTGCACCGACGAAAATTAGAGCGGCTTTGAAAAGATTAGGCCTCTTTCTAGTAAACAATGTAAGAAACTTGGTGTCAAAGTTCGACAGCGGAAAAAATGCATCAGAAAATGAAATTTCCAAAAGTGTTCAGACTCTTTCTTTACAACCTAATACTTCGCAGAAATCATATCTCGGCCTCCTTTGACAAATAAGCAAAGGCAGAGCTTGGTTTCGAGGGATGGAGGGCCTAACGGCCATGCGGCAGTGCCTTTTCGCTAAGAATTTCTCAGTTTCAATGCTAAATCATACAAAAGCTCGCTTGAAATCCACTTTTGATCGCTTTTACTTTGCAGAAATCAAACCTGTCTCCTAAAATAAAGAAGCAAAGTAAACTTGGTCTCGAAGGAAGGAAGGTCCCAGGGGGGCTCATGTGGCAAGATCAATGCTAACTTATAAAATAAATTGCTTGAAACCCACGTTTGGCCGCTTTTACTGCAGAAATCATGCTTCTGCCTCCTTCAGCAGAAAAGCAAAGGGAGCTTGGTCTCAAAAAGATATCCACTTTTGACCGCTTCTACTTCGAGAAAATCGCACTTTTGCACTAAAAGCAGAAAAAGCAAGCGAAGCTTGGTTTTAGGTGAAGAAAGACCCAGAGGCTCTATGCGGCAGGGCATGTTTGCTAAGATTGCACAGTAGAAAGCTTTGATCGAGCTTTGGTCTCGCTTCAAAAAATGACTTCGCGAGATATTTTGAGGAGAGTATAGGATTGTTCATGATCGCGAAGGTCGGCCTGAATTTCGGGTTGAATCAGCTGTTCTACATAGATGACTGCTTAGGCGATTTCCATTTTTAGGAGCTGGGGTAGGGTATTTGCAAGAAGAACAGCGTAGTTAATTTGGAATTCATCAATTGTCAAAAGCTTCCTTGAGAGTACGATCTTGCTTCTACTACTACTTACAATGCGCCAAAGATCGTCGAGAAAATAGAAAATTAGTTCCTTACTGCTCTTATTATTAGTTGCGCGCGACAGTCGACAATATATCTGCCCCATCCAACTTTACTAACGATCCGTAGGGTCGCTACGGCCGCAGGACATGTTTGCCAAGAATTCCTCTTTCACGGCTTTAGCTCCTACTTCGCAAAAATTATACTTCTGTTTCTAAAAGCAACTAAGCAGGGAACATGGTCTCGAAGGAAGCAGAGACCCATGGGTCTCATAGAGCAAGACACCTTTCCTGAGAATTTCTTGCTTTCATTATCAAATTATAGTAAAACTTGTTTGAAATTCACTTTTGGCCGCTCCTGCTTCGCAGAAACTACTGTACTTCTGCTCAAAGCTTAAAAATCGGGAGCTTGGTCTCGAGGGAAGGAAAACCGAATGGGTCCATTGCGGGATAGTTTGATTTGAAATTATAGCTTCAAGTGCTGAATTATATTGAAAAACTTGCTTAATCCACTCTCCCTACTTCACGAATATTGTATTAGGGTGTCCCATAATTTTTAACCATTTTTAGCCTAACCATACCCTAACCATAGCATTTCTCGAAAACTGCGGCACTTACAAAGGTGCAAATACATGATCGTACTTACGTATGTCTCAGCCGTATGATCACCTGTGCGGGAGGAGCTCAGGAGTCTAAGGGCTGAGTTTGCCATCTCACTCCATTCCTTTTTTTCTTTATTTCTAGCCATGATAAAGTCACGAAAAGTGTACAACTGGATATTCGATGTGTAAGCATACGCTAAGATAAATGAGAAACTTTTGAGATTTGTTAAGGCGGAGACACGATTTTTTTTAGTGAAATTCGTTTTTGACTGTTACAAGATTTCAGCTCAAAACTTCAGGTGGTGTACGTTCTGGGCTGTCTCTTAATAGCCATCTTGAGCTTGCTTTGTCCTTTCGAATATTTACCCAAGCCACATCATTTGAAGGAAAGATACAAAAAGACGACGATTCTAGCAAAAAGTTCAAAACTTGTGGGACACCCTCATACTTCTGCTCCTAAAAAAAAGCAAAGAAAGCTTGGTATCAAAAGAATGACAGCGCTATGGGCTTCATACGGCAGAACCTTTTTGCTAGATTGTGCTTGAGCGAGTTTTAGTTCTCGCTATAAGAAATGACTCCATATATTGGGAGACATTATCAAAGTACAGAGCTACGCACGATCGCTAAGTTCGGTGCGTTCGCGGTCAGTGCTTGAGAAAAATTCCACAAGGCCCTCATCTAAGTAAAAAACCTCCATATTTTTCAGGATTGCTACTGCAGAAAAGCGTTTGAAATAAGGAAGAGGATAGAGCTCAAACATAAGCCATGGTGAATTTACCCATCTTCGCGATCAAACAGAGCCCTACTTTTTGCTCGGGGATAGTTTTCGATGAAAGATTTACCTTTTCCTTGAGAATATAATCTTGCTTCTTCTACTAGCCTGAGTTTAGCCCTAGTCTCAGCCTAAATTTCGGGTTGAATCAGCTGTTCTACATAGATGACTGCTGAGGTATTTCCCATGTTTAGGAGCTGTGGTATCTGGATCGGGGTATCTGCAAGAAGAACAGCATAGTTAATTTGGAATTCACCAATTGTCAAAAGTTTCCTTGAGAGTATAATCTTGCTTCTACTACTACTTACATTGCTCCAAAGATAGAGAAAATGGGAACTCAGTCTCTTGCTATTCTTAGTTGCATGCAGACAGTTATCAATGTGTCTGCCCCAACCCACTTACTAGCGAACCATAGGGTCGCTAGTTGTATATATAGCAGAACAACAGACAGGATCCAGGCAAGGCAAAATATTGTTTAGGAATGTTTGTGACTAGCAGCAAGCAGTGCCTAGTATCCTCGAAAACTCATTCCAATCAAAAATGTGAATAGCAAAGAAAGTCTGAAGGTCTTTTCATTGGGTGATTTGCAGCATGATCGCTGAGGCAAATTTGAGACATTTCCTTTCTAGTCATCGTAGCTGATGTTAACGAATAAGGATTGCGAAGTAATTATGGCAATCTGATTGTACAAATCAATTGCTTGAAAGAATCTCTGCTTTAGTAAACTACCAATAGAGTGTTTTGAATTCCACTTCTTATCATGATACAGAACATAGTTTGAGAGGTTTCAAATTTTTTACAAGCTAAAACAACAAAAATGATTTAGAAAAGTTACAGTCCATGTTCATAGAGCTTAGAACCTTTTTCTGAAGTTCTTTATAGTTATAAGAAGAAGATCATGAGAAGTATAAAATATGCAATCCGTGAATCTTCAGAAATTTTTGCAGATTTTAGTATTTTACTTCTCGCAAAATCACCTTTATCGTAAAGAGACCTTCTCTTAGAACGATCAGAAGTGTTGCAGCAAATTGCTGCCTTGAGGTGTCTCAATTTGATGAAGAGAACTGTTTTTGCTTGTGGAACGAATCTTGCAACGTTTATTGAACTCAAACACCCTTACAACCAATGTCTGAATGATGAACTGAGTTTGCTTGAGTCTGGGCTCAACATATATTGCAAACTTGGCCACAGAATTTCTTCTTGTACTCATAATTATAGAAGCTATTACCACAGAACCCATTCTCCTTCCATATCGCACATCTAAATTGAGTTTAAGAGTACAATTAGTACAAGAGTACAAGAAATTTGATGTTTTTTTTTGACTTGCCTCGAGTCTGCTCCACAAGGGATAGTTGTGGTGGCTTCCGTTGAAGCGGAAGTAGGAACTATAAGAATGCACATACAGGCATGACTTTCATTGTGGACATTCAAATAACAGAAAACTGGTTTTTATAAGACAAAGCTGATTTTTTCACTTTCTTGGTTTTTTTTTCTGGACTGTGTGTTTTCCTAATTTTTGGTAATTTCTCTGAGAACCGAAGCATATTTGAACGTAGAAGTTTACAGAATTCTATTGGTCTAGACGATGCAGAAGCGTAAAAAAGACTTTAAACAGCAGGTAGACCTCTTAATTCGTTGTGAGAGAAATCCTATCACAAAGCATTAGGCCTCGGCCATAGTCATAAGCGATTCCATTGCCTTGCGGTTCTTCAGGAGAACTGCTACGAGTTCACTGCATGCCGATCCTCATGCATTTCGCTTGTTATAGTTCTCCTACACGACCAATTGTGACCAACTATCACAACCAAGATGCAAGGCGATTGGCTTGCAAAGGACTTGTAACAGTTGTCTTGTCGCGAAAATTGCGAGGCGATGAAATCGAGTGAACTATGCCCGATGCCTTAGGATGTCGTATAAGTCGTCCACATAATCCACATGACTAGCGTTCATCCTGTTTTTCGCTATAATCTCCACACCCTTCACACTTGACATCACCGTAATCAACTGCTATACCCGCCATAGGCAGTTAATAAAAAAACCTCCTTTTACAAACTTGTTTTGAACGATTCCGTTGCAAAATCGATGGATACAATAAGACCAGAAACTTTGAGGAGGAGGTGGGGGGAGAACGAATGGCAGCCGTCTGGCTGCATATCTCTCCAACGCACGCCTTTTTTTATAGAGAGTCCATCTGAATGCAAAGAATAAAACACTGGTGTAAACCGTCCTAAGGGATGACTCATGCGGACGTCGAACGCATTATCATCAATCGAGGGTATTGTCTAAATAATGTAAAATCGTTGCGTTAGTCTCACTCTCATGCTGTGTTTGGCTCACTCTCTCCTTATAAAATCACACCTTCGCTGAGAACGTAGAAGAAGTTGTGTGTGAAGAGCGCAGATTAGAAAGCACATTAAAGAGGAACCGACGAAGAACAAGGAGATGTTTATGGAGGCGTTCAAGTTTTTGCTGTATTTCAAATTTCCAGGTGAAAATTCTGATTCTCGTCTTAAGCATTATCGAAGAGCTGCGCAAAAGAGAAGAACCTTGAGCCAGAACTCGAACACATCTATAGCATAGTGGTGAACGCCAGTTGCGAATTTTCAAAAGGGTTTTTGGAAGGCAGATAAATAAATGATATCCGATAAGCTTAGAGAAGACTAAGTTTTGAAAAGTGCAGCAAGCAAATCTGAGAAAGACCACCGATCAGTCCATTCTGCTGGGAACTTACAAACAAAGTAGAAAACTGTTAGAACTTTCCACGTTTGGCGAGTTTTGATCTTAGCATGCTATATAAATTGAATTGCTGCAGCAAACATTTTATCAATTATTTTAGTTATTGTTACTTTGGTTTTTAGACTGAAAGGATTAATGACCAGTGAAGGACCTCAAGAACATCCTTGAGATTTACAAGAGAAAAGCGATCAATAGTTTTAAGAATACCGTTCGATTTGCCAACGGAGTGCTGCAAAGACCACTCTTACTATAATTATTTGAAGCTAAACCGGAACAAGCTGAATCGCAAAGAATAGCTGCGTGCTCTCCTACAAATGCTTTCAAAAGATAGGCGCAAGTGCACGTTTTCCTCTTCTAGAACTTTGACTACGAAGCCAAGACCTTCGACAACATGAACGCCGCATTATCATTGAGGTGTAATCTATCAAGCGGTTTAGTACCACGAACCCCGTCTCTAGCAACTCACAGCTCTAATGAAGGGCATTTCTTCGGACTATCAAACCAACGTTATCTTGCAATGGCCAGATCAACATTAGCCAGCATATTTCCGTATTATGTCTTTCAACCACGCATTATCTGTGCTTCAATCAAAGAAGCTCAAGAGTAGAGCTGTTGCGACTTTAAGTGTATGTTTGATACCCACCAGTTCCATTTTGAGTAGTGGTAACTGGTTTTTGAGTAGTGGTGGCTGTTTCATCACAGAAACCGCATGTTTTCTTGCACTGTTTCTGAAAATAAGTACATGGTTTGTTCCGATTTCTGACAGTTTCAAAAAGCGGTTAGAAGGCTATAGCTCGTTTTTTTTTATTCCAAAAAAAACTCAGAAGTCTCTGGCTTATTCATCCAAACAACGCGACAATAAGCAAATTTTTTTATTTCAACGGCATCAAAGTTTGAGAAAGTTTTGTAATAGAAATGAATGCTTATTAAGATCTATTCGTTTAGCAAACAAGAAACATTGACGTGTATTCTAGATAAGAAGTGCTATCTGGGTTTATCAACCAGTAATTTCGAGATTCGTAGATGATTTTACGTCACAGTTTCTAATAACAGTTATCTGCGAAAGTAAATCTTCGGCACCCAAAAACATGCTCTGAGATTTGATTTTGATAGAAAATCCCTTGACAAAGTAAGACTGCCCAAGTTTCGCTGCATAAGACAAATTCCAGAGCGAGAAAATTGCGCCAGAAGGAATCTATCAATAAGTTCATTTCAACCATCAACGGTGGACTTCAAGTAGCTAGAGATGACAAGAATCTCATTTTATGGTGAAAGGGGATTTCCGACAAATTCAGATATTGAGAGCCCAATTTAGCACACATTACCCTAAGACCTATGATTATGGCGGGACCAACATACCAGCAGAACCTTGTGAAGGGATTTTTTTTTCTTTTTAAATTCACCGTTCGCAGCGAAACGTAAGCATTATCTGGTCACGAGTCCACTATCAATCTCAGCACCTTCAGTTTGGATGGGCAGTGCGTTCAAGAGTGATACATCATATCGGTATCATCCGAAAGTTATTCAAGAAAAAACGCAACACTCATGTGCAAGCTATTCCCACCTTCATTACATCCGCAAAACCCGGATAATAGCACAGGGATTTGTCACAGTCTGCCATTGAATCCGTACATCCTAAATTATCACGTGAAGTATCTTCAAATGACGAAAGATTCTACACAATTCTCTTCTGAACTATTTCTGAGAATTCTTGCAGCTGGTGCAAAAGTTGCAGCCTGCTTGATGCGTTTTCGCTTTTTAGGAATCGGGATTTGCGTTGATGGCAGGTTACATTGAAAAGTGAGAGCCACGTTGAAATTGCTTACTATCAGTCGGAGGATGGAAAAGAAATTTAATTGAAATTTCATTACAGACGATTCAAAATACTCATTAGTACATTGTAAAAGATTTTGCTCATGCTCAGCTGGAAGATGAGCAACTTTCCTTATGTTGTTTCTTTTTACAAAGAGTAAAGGTGAATAAAAGTGTTTTTTCGACTTCTACCTGGTTTGATAATGCGGCTATAGCAATTTGGTCACAATTTCGAAACCATGCAGAGTCAGAGGCAGCCTTAGATGCTAATCACCACATCACTTCTACAGTTTCATTGTATGAAGTGCAGGACGTCAGATTACAGGAGTTCACGATTATCTCAACCTTTTTTTGAATGAGAAATCAAGAAATTACCTGCATTTTTCTCCTCGCACAATCCACACGTTTTCGGACACTTGTTTGCCAGATCCAGCTCGGCTTTCATTACTGAGTTCTTGCAATACTGTTTCGCTTTGGAGCAGTCAAGACCTGTACGATGTGTATCAAGTTATACATATATAACTATAAATATATAAATAATAGAAATATATCACACTACGTGTATTCAAACATTTTACTTTTAGAATCGCATATTGCATAAACAAGCGTAAATCTGAGTGACGTTGTTTCATGTCACAGATTGGGAGGGTGTGCGCAAGGTTTAGTTACGACTAGTTACTTATCTATAGAATCTTCAAACACTGATAACGTAATTGAAAAATGAATTTCTATCAAAAATGACTCTTTTTTATGCTCAATAATATCCCTGGATACAAGAATCTGGCCGAATTGAATGACCTTTGCAATCCTCTAAGAAAAGCATGCTATAAGGAGAAAGTTGTAACTGCTGATGCTTCAACGTACGCAAATTTCCAATTTACCAACTTGCGGTCGCGGAATAGGTTGGCTCAAGGCTTGAACATACATTGTCTTTCAAAGGGGGAGTGAAGCTAGTTTTCAAAAGAAAATCATTGAGCTGTTACTCACTGTTGTCATCTTCACAGTCAAACGCCGCTGACTTGCAGCATAATGCACATCTCTTTGGGCACAAACTCGCAGCAGTCTTGACAACTTTATTATCTAGTGTTTGTCCATCACTACCCTTCTGAAAATAATGTCCGGTGTTGATGAAAATAGTCCGGTTTTGAACCAACCGGCGTTCAGATCATTCATAACAAATGCACAACCGATTTAAGGCAAAGCGGAATGAACGTGAAAGTGTACTTTAGCTCTTTTTCTTACATTTCAAACGTAGAAAAAACAGCAAGAAGTTTTGGTGTATATCCGAATATTTTTGGACACATTCAGAAGGACTTAGGTACTGCTGTAGCACATACTTGAACTTATATTGCGATAAAATTAATCTAGGTTCCTACGCACGTACATCCTCGCTCAGGAGGGGAGGGGATCTGAGAGAGGATGCGTCATATCTCGCTACTCTAGGTATCTTTTTTCTTCCTTCTCTTTCTTGCTTATGAAGGTTCTCATAGCTTAATACCTGCGCATAACTGATGCCAGGTTACTGGCATAATTGATTGAATTTTCACTATTTTGTGTGATCCCCTAGGGATCCCCAGGGGATCACACAAAGTAGTGAAAATCAACCTGGCAGTAACCTGGCAAATTATGCGCAGGTATAAGGTTCTGAGAATTTTCATAAGCGAGATAGAGAAGGAAAAAGAAACATACCTAGAGTAGCGAGATATGACGCATCCCCTCTCAGATCTCCTCCCCTCCCCAGCGAGGATGTACGTGCATACGAGCCTTAGACTTTGCACAATTATTTCAAGAGTGTTTCTTTTTCAGTTTCCGTGATAGGAGTTTATACTTTGATATCTCACATGTTTTTTAGGCCTCGGGCAGAGTTCACGCAATTTTGCTGTCACGATTGATCGCGACAAGACAACTGTAACAATATCATTGCATGCCAATCTTGCATTTCGGTTGTGATAGTTTTCCAACAGACTAATCGTGATTGACTATTAGAACGGGAATACAAGATCGGCATGCAACGATACTATTACACTTGTCTTGTCGCGATCAATCGCGGCGGTAAAATCGCGTGAACTCTGCCCGAGGCCTAAAATGTTTGTATCAATGGAGCTTCTCACTGTTCAATCACCGAAAAGAGGATACCTTGAAAGTTTGAACTTACCGACCAACAAGCATCAGGTCTAGACTGATTTCCGCCAACAGTTGGCTCTGTCCCACTTGAGGGTAAAGGGTAAAGTGCTTCGCAGCTCTCTTCTGACAGTTTGTCCTCGCAAGCGAACGCCTTCTCTGTGTACTGAATTTGACGTATAGACTCATTACTACTGCAAGGATCCAGTAATTGATAAGATGCTTGATTCCGCATAATTCTTGTTTGATAGACTTTTTGGAATTTAGCATGAACGATAATCTGGGTTGAGTTGGATGACGAGCAGCAAGGTGCGGCATGTCTAACACTTTCGATCAGGCTTTTCGATTTCTGTCATTTAAGACCAAAGCGTATATAAATCGCCATTTTTGAATCACGACCCACGGATAGGGTATGTCCAAAAGGTAATTTTTTGCCTTGAGCACCGCTTATATGTTAACCACGTGCGAAAACCCCTTTCTATTACAACCCAATCAAAAGTGTTCAAGAAACATACGATCCACCGATAAGTCATAATGCGTGTGGCAGTACAATGCTGCCCACCCGTAGGCTTTAATGTCGTGAATGTAGAGCGCTGTCAAAGCCACAGAAAAGTTCTAATTTTGCGAAATAACAATTACACGTGCTTTTAAGATTTGCAACAAAAACTGGGGCAGCTGAAAAGCTGCTCTCGATCATTGCACCGGGACTTTGTGAAGTGCGCTCAACCTAATATCGGTTGATATAGTAAAAAGTTGATGATATTATACTATTGGATATGTGGTATCGTTTTTCACAGTTTATTTTTGCTGAATAAGGTGCCTTTTTCAGCATCCAACCCTCTAGTAACGCGAGAAGAACTCAAATGTTTTATATTTAGACCAGCGCACGTTTTTGACAATGGGATAGGATTTGCTTAAGGAAAGTACCTTTCCCTTAGCGTTCATGCATGCCGTGGACTGACCGTGGGCTACAAAGCAGCACATGGTAGTGAAGACAAATATTTGAAACATCTTCGTTCGACACTTCATAAATTACAAATGCTCGCCTTATCCTGAAATATATTGCTGTTTACGAAGCAAAGAAAAAATGAGTGATGACTGCACTATCTGCAAAGCATTTTTCATGTGTTTTTTATATAGACATGATTTCAAAGAATCTCCTTTTGCATAGTTGATTGCGTTGCTATTGTTGTGTTACTGTTGTTCTACATAATTTTACCAAACAAAGACGGTGCGAAAAACGGGGGTTTATACAGACAGATATCTAATTGTATGAATAATCCACATTCTGCCAAAACGTCATATTTTACTGCAAGTCGTGACCATTTCTGTTAGTTTGAGGTTGAAGTGTGTAAACGAAAAAGTTGTCTATACAGCGTTGACCTCAAACAGCAGAACTTTCAATACATTTTGTCACTTCCTAGGCCTTTGGGCCTCGAGAACTTATTTCTCATAGAGTTCATATATGTTTGAGTTGAACTGGGAGTGAACGGAGTTTTTTTACGACGCAATAATATGTCGACAGGATTTCTAGTTTTCCACGTATCAAGTATTGTAAATTCAACTTGTCAGGGATTTTATAAATAAAAGTAGGAGTGCGCAGCAAGTGGTACGGTAGCCGACTGCTGTCGCAGCCAGCCGCCAAAGCTGCCGGCAAAGCCGCTGCAGATGGTAAAGTAATAACGCTCGTCGTCTAAGGCCCCGGACAGACTTCACGCGATTTGATCGCCGCGACTCAATCGCCGACATTTCCATTCATTTTCATTTCACATTCAAAAATTTAGGGCTGGAAAAGTATCACAACCGAAATGCAAGTTGATCGGCACGGAATGGTGTTGTAACAGTTGTCTCGTCGCGATTCTGATAGGGGCCTAAAGCTCATGCCCAAAGGTTTTCTCGCACCTCGTCGCTCTGAAGTGCAATATCGGCCTTAGGAAAGCGTGAAATCCTTGATATCTATATTATTCTAAACAGCAGAAAATTCACATTTTTTGAGAAACATGCAAATAAACAAAGGTAAACAGGGTGATTTTCTAAATGATTATGGTCACAAAATCAAATCACTTTAAAAATTTAAAAAAAGCAGAAGCTGAAAAATTCATAAAATTTCAAATTTCTAGAGGTTTTTCTCGCTTTTACGTCGAAGAAAGGACGAGAACAATTACAGGAAAATGTCATGGATATAACGGTAAGAAAACACGTCAAAATGATTTTTTTCATTCATCTGATATCAAGCAAGCTAAATAAGGCAAAGTAGGTCAATCAAATTGAGTAGGTCAATGATAAAAGATGAAGATATGCCACATCTGCTGATATAAAAGGGAACATAGATCACCGAGAAACATGTAGCATTTTAATCTACACAGTTCACTTCTCCTTACTACAGCGTCAGTGGGCATTTATTGTACTTTGGTTTCAAAATTTGTAGAAAAGAGTTTGATTTCCTATTCATGCATTTTTGTAATTGTTTGTGAAAATTTTGGAATTTTCCAATGTAGTTTTGTGTTCGACTGCATAGTTCTTAATAAAATATGATTTTTCTCTGCTGTTCAAAATGATATGGTGTACCTACTTTGTCTTATTTAGCTCGCTTAACATCACTATATATGAAATAATCATTTTGACAGAGTGATCCTACCCTTATATCCTTGACATTTGCCTGTAACTGTTCTCGACCTTTCTTCGACGTAAAAGCGAGAAAAAAATCTCTAGAAATTTAATTTCTAAATTTTTCAGCTTCTGCTTACTTTTTTTTCAAGTGATTTGATTTTGTGATCATTTTCCTTTAGAAAAACACTCCCCCGTTTACCTTTGTTAATTGGCATGTTTCTCAAAAAACATAAATTTACTGCTGTCTAAAATGATAATATCGAAGATATCACGCTTTTCTGAGGCTGATATCGCACCTCAGAGCAAGACTTGCAAGAACTGCTCTGGCAAGAGTTTTAGACGACGAGCGTATATACTGTACCATCTGCAGCGGCTTTGCCGGCAGCTCTGGCGGCTGGTTGCGGCAGCAGTCGGCTGCCCGGGTACCACTTGCACGCCTCCCATCAAAGTAGAGTTAGGTGAGAAAGTATTGATTACTGTATTCGAACGAGAAAGTGGTCATTTGTTCAGAGTGAGGGAATCCATACTCAAGGGATATTTTACGGTGTAGTTTCGAAGGCCATGATTGTCAGCAACCATCTGGTACTTAACTAGCACCGTATTCGAAGCGGATCTTTCAATGCAGAGTCGAGCACTCTAGCAACGCAAAGCAGAAATTTTGCCCTAACTTCAGAGCCATAGTTACTGTGAAAATTGGGGGAGGAGGTCACTAGGAGTTAATTAGGATTTTCTGGCTCTTTGTTTTTTGATATGCTAGTTGTTTTCTCCATACCTCCAAAGCTTTTCGTTTCCGAATACTGTTTTTATTGTGCAAATAAATGGTGAAAGAAAGAGTAGTATGTTGTTAAAGGCAGTGGACAGGCAAAATGGACCCCTGTCAGATTTTGGTAGTTTCGGGTAGTGGACCCCCCCCCCCAATACACCGTAGCCCCAACCCCAACTTCCAGTTGATGCGCTAAGTCCTGAAAAAAGCGCTTCAAACTTCCACCAATAATGCCCACTCAATGGAAGTGGGCGGGGCTGGTGGAGTTTTGGAGCGCTTTTTTCAGGACTTAGCGCATGATTGGAATGTGGGGTTGGGGCTACGATGTACTTGGGGGGTCCACTACCCGAAACTACCAAAATCTGACAGGGCCCAATTTGCCTGTCCGCTGCCTTTAAGGAAAATTAGGTGAATTTGACTTTGGCTAAAATACCTCGTCCCATGGTGTTGAATTGATCACCTTAATCATAATCATGTCTAAGTAGATGATTATGTTCAAAAAGTGCACACTTGGAACTACCGGGCAAGTGGAGCAAAACTCCACACATTTTGGCTGGGCAAGAATGATGTTTGTTGTGAAGACTAATTTATCGAGTCGCAGGTAGCAATCGTGCTCTTATAAGCACTAGCTAATAAGGAAAAGAAAAAAAGGATCAGTAAGCATTTCATTGGTCTGTCGCTTGTGTGTATGTGTGTATGTATGTGTGTTGTGTGTGTGTGTGTCTGTCACTTGTGTGTATGTGTTTATGTATGTGTGTGTTGTGTGTGTGTGTCTGTCGCTTGTGTGTATGTGTGTATGTATGTGTGTGTTGTGTGTGTGTTGTGTGTGTGTGTCTGTCACTTGTGTGTATGTGTGTATGTATGTGTGTGTTGTGTGTGTGTGTCTGTCACTTGTGTGCTGTGTGTTGTGTGTGTGTGTCTGTCACTTGTGTGTATGTGTGTATGTATGTGTGTTGTATGTGTGTGTGTATGTGTGTATGTGTGTGTGTGTGTGTGTGTGTGTGTGTGTGTGTGTGTGTGTGTGTGTGTGTGTGTGTGTGTGTGTGTGTGTGTGTGTGTGTGTGTGTGTGTGTGTGTGTGTGTGTGTGTGTGTGTGTGTGTGTGTGTGTGTGTGTGTGTGTGTGTGTGTGTGTGTGTGTGTGTGTGTGTGTGTGTGTGTGTGTGTGTGTGTGTGTGTGTGTGTGTGTGTGTGTGTGTGTGTGTGTGTGTGTGTGTGGAATAAACGATATTTTTGCTTACGAAAGGAAGAAGGAAAGAAAGAACTGATGGTTGCCTGCTCTCCGAAGAGCCTTTTTATATGTTCTGTCTTTTATACTGTATGCATGAACTGAGTTTCTTCTTTGCACAGCTGGTCGCATAAGATTTTTTAATTTTAGGCCATATTGCATGCATTTTTTGAATGCGTCACGAGTCTGCTGCAACAGCAGTCGGCTTTCATTGAACTCGGCTGTGAGGTGTGACGCAGTATTCCTTAGCACGGGTGAATTGTGACAACCAACTACTTCTGGATCAACGACTTCTGACTGGTATGGCGACCAATGTGTGCTTTAAAATGCGTTTTGCACATCTCTTAAGTTCATCTCAAAAGTTTTTGCAATAAAATTGTTTTAGATCCACAAATCTCATCTCCTGATGAATTGTTATGGATGCACATTGTAAAGGCTGCTGGCACAACGAAGGCGCAGTTGCAGTATTATCTGAGCAGGCGCGAACGCGGCGCGCGCGTATTTTCATCGCTGTAGATCCTGCGCCTCGTCGCTCTGCGGCTAATAAAGCCGTGTTCGCGCCCAAAGACTGCAAGTCATGCAGCAGCGTATACAGTAGATGAACAACGGAACAACGGACACCTGTGAAGATATAGAGGGAGTTCCATTCTGAATGTCGCGGCTAGGTTCTAGTGTCTCCTAGGCCACACGCCACGTTCGCAAACGTGCTTCAGGATCACTTTTTCAAGCTTGCCAGCCTCATGCCTGAGGGACCCGTCATACTTCGCCGAGAAAAGCCTAAGAGCGCCGAAAAAATCCTAAAAAAGCCCAAAAAAAAAGCCGGAAAAAGCCCGAAAAAGCCCGGAAGAGCCGGAACGCAGAACCCAACTTTTGGTAGAATCTGATATTATTTTGATGTGCAGACGACAGAAAATGAAGCAAAAAGACTCGGTTGCGAAATCAACACACATGCCTTAGGGCCGCATGCATTGACATCCCCACCGGGGAGCGGATCATAGCTTCAGAAGAACTAAGCCTAAGCCCAGATGTTTGATTTCACGCTGTCTAAATATCCGTAAGTACTCCCATCATCCTTCACAATAAACTTTTGAACGGGAGCAAGAAGATACGACGATACTAAGCATGTTGCTGATCAGAGCAAATGAATTTTTGAAATATCGATTTTTTCGATAAACCCCAACTGTCGACCTGTGGTTCATAGCAAATTGCATGACTTCGGAACATCACTTGTTCTTACCAAAGGCTGATTAGCACTGTTGGGTTAGATAAACAGCACAACTTTGGAATGTTTTTCTCGACCCCGAAAAAAGAAAAATGACTTCAAAGAAAAGACGGTCAGCAGCTAGGGATTATCAGGGGATCAAACAAAAATCTGGAAAATGCGGCTTATACAGCTTCTCGCTCCCGTTCAAGATGTTTATAGTGAAGGATGGTGGGAGTACTTACGGAGAGGTA